TATATATTTGATTCTTCAACTTGCTGTTAATAAAGAAAAACTGCCCACACTAACTTTCTTTGAACATTAAAACCACCCCTTATTTCTGTTTCTTTATCCCCTTTAAGGAACAACCACCACTGTCGTAACGAGCTATTACTCTCACTCTCACTCTAGCACATTTCCGTATCTATTTATTCATATTTCTCACATTTCTCACATTTCTAGCACAAACACTCGAACTTCAACGGTTCATCGTTTCCTCTGCTTTGGCCAAGCTACGATCTGAAATTCCTTCGCGTCGATGGATCAGAGTCAGGAGTCAAAGCGACGAACTTTCACCGCATCACGTTCGTCAACTTATTCGACGTGTACACGCACACGTGACGGCGAGTACCACTCACGTGTAACACGGCCGTGAAAGGATACAAAGCGGACGAGACTTAATAACAAGCAGTTGCTAGGGATCGGGAGCGATTCGTGTTCGCATTAACGAGCAAGCACGACCGATCCGGTGTTAATTAAATTTTAATTAACATTGTTCCGACCGGCGAGTACACGAAATTTATGTAACTCGGTCGACTCGCTTCTGCCCGGCCAGATTTCCGCCGTTTGATCCACATCGCTTGTGGACAGGAATTTGGTTAATTACCCGGCGAATAATACCAGAAGCTATCGTTTAGATGTTTGAGAGTTTGTTCGTAAAACGGTGCGAAGTTACCAGGTAATGATCAACGACACGGAAGACGGATCTTTGAGTAACTTAATATAATTTTTTATTAATGAAGGGTGGATCTGAATTTAGAGGCAGTATTTTTGCTTCGAATCTGCAATATGTTCCAATTAAATTTACTCAATTGATTTTTAAGTTATTTAACACATAGTTGAATATTCGCTAACTATCTCGGCGTTGCACGTGTAATTTGACGAACGACAAATCATCTGACGAGAAACTCGCTTCGCTTCTGCAAACGTCTATGAGCCCAAATGTCCAACAAAGATCGTTGAGTCGGCCTCGAAGTTTTACGAATACAGTGCAACAGCGAAAAAAACGGTGCAAACGGTAACTTAATATAATTTTTTATTTATTTAAGTTATTTAACACGTAATAGAATATTCGCTAAATTAAAATAGCGAGCTACTCGTAATTTAGTCGTCGATGGTTAACTATCTCGACGTTGCACGTGTTATTTGACGAACGACAAATCATCTGACGAGAAACTCGCTTCGCTTCCGCAAACGTCTATGAGCCGAATGTCCAAAAAAAGTTTCTAAGATCGTTGAGTCGGCCTCGGAGTTTTACGAATACGGCGCAACAGCGAAAAGAAACGGTGCAGAATATAATGCTCGCTATCAGCGAAACTTCTTCCATTGTAACTTCGGCTCTATGTTCTTGATTCAATCAGAGTTAACAAAGACCCTTCAGACTGTATTCTATCACCGAGACCGAGTGTCCTACTTCGTATTTCCTCTCACTTTCCCTCAAGAAATTCTGCAATTCCGAGAAACTTGGCCACCCCACGATAGAATCACGCCTGTTACCCTCTTTCTCGCAGATTTAATTTTCTGCCGCGAGGTGCGCCACGCGACACACTCGGCTCTCAGAATTCACGAGCGATTCACGA